ATCTAGCCTCTGTTTGAAAACCTCCAAAGAGGGAGAGCCCACCACCTCCCAAGGAAGCCTGTTCCACTGAGGAACCACTTTAACTGTCAGGAAGTTCTTCCTAATGTTTAGCTGAAAACTCTTCTGATTTAATTTCAACCTGTTGGTTCTGGTCCGACCTTCTTGGGCAACAGAAAACAACTCCACACCATCCTCTATATGACAGCCCTTCAAGTACTTGAATATGATTATCATATCACCTCTCAGTAATCTCCTCTCCAGGCTAAACATACCCAGCTCATTTAACCTTTCCTCATAGGACTTGGTCTCCAGACCCCTCACCATCTTCATTGCCCTCCTCTGGACATGTTCCAGCTTGTCTATATGTCTCCTAAATTGTAGTGGCCAAAACTGAATGCAATACTCTAGGTGAGGTCTAACCAGAACAGAGTAAAGTAATACCATCATTTCACGTGATCTGGACACTATACTTCTGTTGATACAGCCCAAAAGCATTTGCCTTTTTAGCTACTGCATCACGCTGCTGACTCGTTTTCAGTGTATGGTCTAAGACCCCTAGATCCTTTTTGCTGCACAAGTCTCCCCCAACCTATAATTATGAATTTGGTTTTTCCTACCTAAATGCAGAACTTTATATTTATCCCCATTGAAATTCATTAAATTTCTTTTAGCCCAGTTTTCCAGCCTGTCAAGATCATCCTGTATCCTGACTCTGTCTTCTACCATATTTGCTAGCCTTCCCAATTTAGTATCATCTGCAAATTTAATAAGCACTCCCTCTATCCCTTTATTGAAATCACTGATAAAAAAGTTGAACAAAACATGTCCCGGGACAGATCCTTGAGGCACTCCACTTGTCACTGTCTCCAAGAAGACGAGGCACCATTCACAACCACTCTTTGGATGCGATCTGTCAACCAGTTACAGATCCACCTAACAGTCATAGGATCCAAACCACATTTTTCCAATTTGTCAACAAGAATATTATGTGGAACCTTATCAAAAGCCTTACTGAATTCAAGATAAACTGTGTCTACAGCATTCCCCTGATCCAGCAAAATAGTAACTTTCTCAAAAAATGAAATAAGGTTAGTCTGACATCGCTTGTTTGTGAGAAACCCATACTGGCTCTTAGTAATCACAGCCATCTGTCAGACTCCTGGAGAAATCAGTTCCCAAAAACAGTCTTTCAAAAGAATAGAAAGTTTGTTGAGACATTGATAGGATCCAGACTCTTAATGCTTCTGTTTTAGAACTCGGGGAAAGCACCTGAAGCAAGCAATTATACCTAAATCAAGCTGGACGATAATGGCCCAGGGCCAATCATGCCTAAGCTAGAGGCCTGCCTAAATAATGGCCCAGAATTCCCAGGAGAAAGATGATTCCAGCCTGGAGTGGGGCTCAAAGTTATATGTCTGAGCCGAGGGAGATAAGTCCAGTGGCACCTTTAAGACCAACAAAGCTTAATTCTGGGTATAAGATGAGCTGACTTTGCTTGGAGGGCAGGGTACAAAGCTAAATAAATAAATAAATAAATAGTGTATATGCACATTTCATCACGCATGCGCATGAAAGCTTATACCCCAAATTAAACTTTGGCTGCGGTCACACGCAACATTAGCCACGCAAGAGATATGGAAGACAAGCGGAGTTTCCGGTCGCGATCTCACCAGCACATCTGGGAAGCGTAGTGCTTCCGTGGCACAACTGAGGCTTCCTGCCGAAAAAGCGCAGCAAAAAACTAGTACCTTGGAGGTACTAGTTTCCAGAAACTGCGGGGCAAGGGCGGGCGTCTGATCGCGTTTCCGGTGGTATCCGGCGCCCGCCCATGTCCCCTTGCGGAAAAGGGTTTTTTTCCCCCCACGTCTCCGTGGATGCGCACACGCACCCAACGGAGCATGCGCATTCGTAGTGTACACAAAAAAAGAAAACCAGTTCGCCGCGCCGCGCGCTTCTTCATTGCGCGCAGGCGTGTGTTGTGATCGGCACCTCTCCCTTGCCATGGAACCTCCACAGTACCTCCACAGAACCTCCACAGTAGGTCTGATCGCTTTACTGCATGTTAGTTTGCCCCGGGGCAAACAGCCACACTTCTCCTCTGCAGTTTCCTGTCCGTGTGGCAGGGGCCAAGGTTAGTCTGACATCGCTTGTTTGTGAGAAACCCATACTGGCTCTTAGTAATCACAGCCATCTGTCAGACTCCTGGAGAAATCAGTTCCCAAAAACAGTCTTTCAAAAGAATAGAAAGTTTGTTGAGACATTGATAGGATCCAGACTCTTAATGCTTCTGTTTTAGAACTCGGGGAAAGCACCTGCGTCACACCTGGTGAAAAACAGAATCCAAGGCACCAGATTAACTAGATTCCATACCCTTTCCCCTTGTCTATTTAGGAAAGATACATGAACATTTTTTATTATGTCTTCCTTGCAGAAAAATAAAATGCCATGTTAGGAGCACTAATCTAAAACAACTAATCTAAAAGATAAAGCCATAAGCAACAACAAAGCAGGCAGAAGTGAAAGTGTACATTCCAGTCACTCCCCTACTTCCCATGACAACCAAGCCTGATAAGGCAGGTGGGGTTGACACACTGCCACCTTGAAGACTCTACCCCACTGGTATCTGAGGGTAAGCTTTGTGAAAGGCATGCACAAGGGTCATCTAGTCCAACCTCCTGCACAACACAGGAAATTCACAACTTTTTCAGCTAGAAACTCCAGTCATTTGTTTACATGCACACACATGCCAAATAAACATTACAGGGGGAAAAAGTTGCTCTTATTCCTCCTCCCCTCCTGCCACCGCCATTTCCTCTAGCAAGGAGAGCTCTCGCTCTGATTCTTCCGATTCAGTATTATCCTTCCTTGGCAGTTTGAGAGGCGAGTTTTTGACTCCCTTTTTCCCTCGGGCTCTCCCCCTGCCGGGCATTGAAACATTTTGTAAAGTCACCTTGTTTTTTAAAGAGTACACATTGTTTTTCCATTGGGGGTAGCAGGAGAGCATAAGAGCTGCAGCCGACCGGAAGGACAGCTGCAATGCCCCCCCCCTAGTAATACTTTGCTGATGAGCATTATTCTCTTCCAATTATATATAAAAAATAAATGCCTGGTGTAATGATTTCATGTTTAACTGTGTGTGTGTGTCTTTAAAAGTTGGGTTGCATGGCGGTGAGAGATGGTCTAGGGTGGTTGAAACAGGCAAGTGGTGTGATTGGTGATTGGCAGAAAGGGGGAGGGGTTTTGGAAGTGATGCTGTGTGGATGATTTGTATGTCAGTCAAGAGTTACAGTTTAGACAGTTGATGAGGACAGTTAAACAGGCAGTCAGTTAAGTTCTGTCTCTGAGAGAAGGAGACACATCCCTGTGTGGGATAAGTTGATCCTGTGTATGAAAAGAGTGAAGCAGTCTTGTATGACATAAGAGTTCTGAGTTAAATATTTGTGTGTGAAAGGAGACATTCAGTTCTGTGTTATAGGAGTTATAAGCTGAAAGCTGAGAGTCTAGGAAACAGTAAAGATTATATGGACTTGAAGGAAAAGTGTCACAAAGTTACCTATGAAAAATCCCTGTCAGTAGGGAGCAAACTGTGTGTTATACCTACTTTACTAGTTACATGGTTCTACCCTCGTATTTATGCTTTATTTAAATAAATCCTATTTTATTCAAGTATACCAGCTCTGAAATAAATACATCCTTAGGAACACATAGTCCCTTGAAAGCCTAAAGACCCGACCTACCTACCCAGTAGAAAAAATATTATATTATAAAGGTTTGGAAAGCCTTAAAATTTCCTGGTGGCAGCCGGATATACAGAGTAAAACAAAACAGAAAGAACATTTTAAAGTAAAACCAGACCTCCCCAGTTAAGGGGTCGTCACAGT